AACAGGCTCAGAGAGATTAAATCATTTGTATGAAATCACACAGCAGTATTGGAAAGACAGGCTGGAGAGGCTGTAATGCCTTGATCCTGGGGGAACCGGTCAGCCTCCAGGGTACCACAGCCAAGTGGCAAACACACTGCGTGTGTCTGTTGGATATTTGCATGGGCTTTCAGCATCTTACCTGGGAGGCAGGTCTTTGGACATGAAGGCTGCTGTACCCACCTTCACTCTAGTCTCTGGCTGATTTGAAGCTCTTGGGTTTGGTACAGCCTGGCTAGATTTGGAGTTTTTGGTCAGCTGGGGAGAAAAATCACCAGCTCAGGTAATATTTTTGCAAACCTTTGGGTTCTTGCATGCAGTGTTTCTGTAGTTTTGTGCTGGTTCATCTCCTGTGGTCTGAAGGATTGCTCTTCCACAGAAATAACATGGGAGATGTCCTTTTATGTAGGAGATATCCAGAATTTTTTTTCTATTAGTGTGCCTGGACCAAAAAAGTCATGCTTGTGCAGGTTTAGCCTTCTGGAATCTTGTTTGGACAAAGGCAGTTTCTGTTTTTAACTCTTGTTTATTGTTGTTATGTTTTCCTTTATTTAACTCCATGCTGATGATCAGTCAGTAATAAGGGATGCTTCTGCTGAGCTGCTTCTCACTAATTATCTGAGCAACCTTCAAAGTATGGCCGATATGGAACTGAGTTTCTCAGATTCAAAGCAGAGTGATTATTGATATCACCTCATATTACTTTAAAAATTGCCTTTTGACATTGGAAGATGAAGTTTAGTGGTTGAGCACTTAGCATGTTGTGGCTTTCATCATCAGTATCATAAAAAATTATTTTTAGCTTTTCTTGGCCCTTTTTGTACTTTAATACATTTATTTTTGTTTTCATTTGTGGCGAGTGCTGCTGTTACCCACTCCATTTTAAGAGGAAGCAAATAGATTTCAGATAGCATTGGCATTGCTAAAGTGAATTGCTGACCTGGGTTCTGAGATACGTCTATTATACTCACTATAATTTTATTTTTATCGTTTGTGGTAGTAGGGCATATGTGTTTGTATAAATTATTTTAATTTTTGTGTGTGGCTGAATATCAAATTCAGAGCCTGGTGCATGCTAGCAAACACTTATCATCACCAAGTCCTCGAAATTTAAAAGAATGCTTCTCTGGCGACTTCACTCGTGTGTGTGTGTGTGTGTGTGTGTGTGTGTGTGTGTGTGTGTGTGTGGTCTTTTCTGCTCACACTTACCACCACACCCTCTGTCCCCCTCTTGTCCTCACCCATACCCCTCCTCCTCCCATGTCCAGACTCAACCTCCAAGTCTTTTTATTGTGTCTTGACTTTTGCTCTGTGACCCCCGAGCTTTATCAGGGGCCTGTCTGTAGGAATGCGGATGTGGAGCTGTCCGTTCGAGCACAGGGATCACCAGCGGCTACATCACTGAAGAGAGTCACGTCCTCTCCCCCCAGAAGCCCTCCACTGTCAACAGCGGAAGCTGCTTCCCATGAGCCTCTCTCTTATCCATCACTGAACGTTGATGGTCTCAGTCTTCTACAGCCCCTGTGCCGGCACCCACAGCTTCCACAAGTCCATGAGTGCTAGGGCCACATTTCGTGACTGGGATCCCTGCCATCCTCCGGCATTTCATTCTTCCTACCCTTTCTTCCATGATCAGACTTCATTTTATTCTAGAGGAATATTTTATCTCCACCATATTGTATCATTTTACACCTTCCATCTCTTCTCCAAGAGATGCAGAAACCCTTGTGAGCATGCCTTTGTGAACACGTGTGCTCGCTCCCACAATGTGGAATATTCATATTCTTGATTACAATCAGGATGACAAGTTTTGTTTAGTCTCCACGAGGCATTTAAGTAAAACAGTGTTTTTCATGGACTGACACGTGTGAACACATATGCCATTTACTCCCACCTTTTATTAAGAAAATTTGCAATTTTTTTTCTGAATACAAAAAGAGATCAAAAGAACCATAGAGGGAGAACCCATCAGCTTGCCACTTAAATTCTATAATTGTTAGCATTTCTGTGATATTTGCTTTTAGCCATACTTTTGCATTATATGCTTCTGAAGTGAACACTTCCCAAGTAGCAATTTACATGTTTTTTGGGGATCTTTGCCAAGGCATTTAATTTTAGATGCCTGTTAACACATATGCCCTGTTACACCATCTTGTAATGGAATAGTAAAAAGATGAAGCCTGGCTTTCTGATTTGAAAATAGACAGGGTTTTGGAATTTGGGGAGAGAGGCCTAAATTGAAAGTATTTTATTGAAGCTTCTGTGTCTAAGGAATTTGAAAATCATCTTACATCATTTGAAACCCCGGTGACTTTGTACATGCTCAGAGCTAAAAAGTTCCTGGGGTGACTTCAGCAATAAAATGCACCAGACATTGCAAGTCCACTTGAAATGTCTGGTCATGGTTGGCAGTGATTTGTTATCACTGATCATTCTGACATTAAAGGGACCTACTTATAAAATGTATCATAAGATCAGAATTGCCTTCACATCCAGAGGCAGGCGTGATAGAGATGCTCATGTGATTCCAGACAGGCAGCTGTACTGACAGGGTGTCCACCCTCAAATGCTGCTGTGTTTCTGCCTTCCTTCTGGCAGAATGTTTCCATTTCTATCTAGGAGTCTTCTCCTTCAAAGTCTTTCCCCTCCATTCTAGATCATTTGTTTATGTGTATATATTATTTGTTTATTTTGTCTTTTATTTTGTGTATGTATGTATGTATGTATGTATGTATGTATATATGTGTGTGTGTGTGTATGTGTGTGAGAGACGTGCATGTGATGGGTAGAAGCAATGCAAGTATCTGTGTGTCCCTGTCTGGAGGCCACACATTGACTTTCGGGTATCCTTTCTATCACTTTCTGAATTATTTTGAGACAGGATCTCATACGGAACTTGAAGTTTATCATTTTAACTAGACTGGCTAGCCAGTGAACGCTCAGATTCACCAGTCTCCCCCCAACTTTACCCCAGTCCAGCATTGGATTCCAGGCATGTACTTTTATGTGGGCCCTGGGGATTGAACTCTGCTCTCCTGCTGTGCACACCCTTTGCCATCTCCCCATCCCTACTCATTTTTTAAAAAAGTAACAGCCATGATGCTGCTAGATGTCAAGAATCAGCGGTCAGTAACATTGTGGTCCTCTTTGTCCTTCTGTATTTACCTAGGGCCTTTCAAAAACACATATTTGGGGAAATCCCATGTTTTCTGTTCTGTGACTTGGTTTCTATGGCAACCTTCTTACTCAGTCAGAGGCTGTGGTTTCTTGGGTGTGTATCTTTGCTCCGATGCCTGGTGCTGAACAACTCTGTGACCTTGTAACTTCATTTATGGCCTGTTACCTATCTGTTGTTTATTTTTGAGATAGGATCACACTCTATGGTCCAGGTTAACTTTTCAGCTCCTGACAGTCCTGCCTCAGTCTCCCAGATTCTGTTGCTTTCGGGCATGGACCACTATGGTGAGCTAAGGCATCAGTGTTAAAATATGTAGAGGAAGGAGGCTGAATTGGGTGGTTTTTGTTGGTTTGTTAGTTTTTTTGTTTTTGTTTTGTTTTGTTTGGCTTCACCAGTATTAAGTTTTTGGCTCTGTGTTAATTGAAAATTTTTTGTGGCAATTCTATTTGCTTTATAAATATTATACGGATGACTTTATGCCATGTTTTTTATTTGCCAATTGAGGTTAGGATACATCCCCTCAAGTATGTGTTAAGCTATGTAAAATATTATTCTCGGTGTGGTTATTTTTATGTGTCAATGTGTACATGTCAACAAGGTGTGTTTTAAAATCCAAGTGAGGAATGACAGGTTGATCTGACTGCAGTAGAATCTGATTGTTAATAACTCACCTCTTGCATATTTAGCTCCATTCATTAAAAAAAAAAATTATCTGTGTGTGCACCACAGGCCACATGTGTGGTCAGGGGATGATGTATGGGTATCAATGCTCACCTTCTGCCTTGCTGAGGTAGGTACTGTGTACTGCAGTTCATCTGCCCTGAGAGCTCTCTGGAGATTTTCCTCCCGTCTCACTGTAGACGTGCGGGGGTTACAGATGTACCCCCACTGTATCTGGCTATTTTTTTTTGTGGGTCCTAGGGTTTTCCAGGCTTGTGCCAGCAAGCAGTTTAACTCCCTGAGCCATGTCAATGGCCCTCACTTTTCAAATGAGCATCTTACCTTACAAAGCTCTTGCCACATGCTGAGGGTGAGTTTGAGTCTGTATACTTGGAATACATACACCTTAAAAAATATAGGGTTTTTGTTTCTTCTACAGAATATAACCACAGAAATTTAAGCACCACAGCATAGATGTAATTCTGTTCTATTCAGCACCTAGCCAACAACAACAACAATTTAATATGAAGATAGCCTGAAAATCTTGTATTTTTTGTATTTAACACCTCTCATCAAAGGTTATAGTGAGCTAGGTGGTGGTGGTACATACCTTTAATCCCAGTACTCGGAAGGCAGAACCAGGCAGATGTCTGTGAGTTTGAGGCCAGCCTGGACTACAGAGCGAGATCCAGGACAGGCACCAAAAAGTACACAGAGAAACCCTGTCTCCACAAAACCAAAAACCAAAAAAAAAAAAAATAAAAAAAAATAAAAAAATGGTTATAGTGAGACTTAAAAAAATACTCTGGCCTCTGTTGTATAACTTTAATCTACAGTAATTTAATGCATATTCTTGATAAAATAACTCCACATTTAGGTTATAAGAACTTTGAGTGTAAAAAGCTGTTGCTGAGTTAACTTTAAAAAAAAAAACATTCCAACAAGGAACACAGAATGAGGGTATATCTGATACTTTGCTAATCATAGCATCATTTTTAAGGGCTGCTCTTGAGGCGCTGTTTTATGACCATAGCATTCCATCTGTGGTTTTGACTGCTTCCCCAAACACAAGGATGGTAGATGTGTATTCTCAACGCTGCAGGGCTTTTCCAAAGAGGCCGGGGCGGCTCTGGAGTGAGTAGGGCTTTATTCTGTGAGCCTTGGAGCCAGGCTCCTATGGAACTTCGGTGGTCATGGTGGATTGCCGGCCCAACAAGAACCTAGTCATGGGCAGCCTGGTGTCTCGGAAGCCTGTGGCAGGCTGTCCTGGGCATTCACTCCAGGCAGCCCATGGAAAAACCACTTTCTGGTTAAGACTGCCTCATTCTGTTCCATCAATGGAAAAAATTGAACATGATGAGGGCGTGTAGCGAGCGAGCGAGCAGACAGAAATACATCCAGCATTGCACACGATCCGTTTTTAGCTCTCAACGGCTGAGCAGTTGAAGTGTTAGGCACCGTTTCCTGGCTCAGCAGGGCAGAAGGAAGACAGACCATGGCTCCTAGCTGGGTGGACGCTCCTGGGAACAACTGGCCACAGCCGCAGCTCTGACCAAGGTAAGGGCGTAAAGATGTGTATTTCTATCCTCCCGAGTCGAGACAGTTTACCTGGGAGATACGTTTTTCTAAAAAGCTTTTCTTGGCAAGGTACCCTTGGGTGCTGCCTTTGTCTGGCATTAGTTTATGCTCAGACAGCACACGTTACCGAACAGAAAGGAATTATTATCCGAGAGTTTAGTGCACACATGCTTTCAAACACCTCGGGGTGACGCATTACAGTTGCTGTAGAATATTTTATGAGTTGAAAATTCTCCAAGCCCATTTGTATGGACTGTTTCTCCCCGGGATGTCTGAAGAAAGTGCCCATTTCTCAGTCTGATTATGTTAAAGCATAAGTGACCTTTGGGTATCTTTCCCAGTTGATTTTTTTTTAGGGGGGGGGCGGTGTGTAGCTGTAAGCTGAAATGTGCCTGAGATTATATTTTTGTCAGTTCCCATTATTATAGCAACTGCAGCTTTTAGCAGAGTAAGGGTTTATTTTCTAGCTTGTAAATGGCTGTTCGCTGCTAGTGTTACTCATCCTTAGGTTGGTCTTGGACTTTTGGGGGAAACAGAATCTGTTGTAGTCTGAATGGGAAGCCCTCAGTTTAAGCAGAGTGAGGGATCCAAGTGGTGGCATTCACTAGAGCCCTAACTCCGAGCAGAAGCTGTCCCAGCTGAGGGCGTGTGCCAACAGCGGGACAGAGAAACCTTAGCTCGGGTCCCTCTTGATTGGTCTACCATTCATTTGGCCCAGCATGTAATTCTCAGAAAATTGGTGGGTGGAGAGACAAAAATAGGAAGATCTTTTGAAGTCATAACTTGGAAGTGTATTTATAGGCTATCTGGAGAGTACGGGTTCATCTGTATGGCTGCCGGAGTATTTCCTAGTATGTTTTAGCCTTTTACTGTGGCCTTAAGTCAGGGTTAGGGATTCTGACCGTCTGTTTCCTTTCACTATAAAAATGCTATGTGTGAGTGGGGTCGTGCAGTGGGAGTTCATTTTTAGCTGTAGGAAGGCTGTCTTCCCGTGGGTGTGGTGGGCACCCCCAGTCCATCCTGTCCTTTGTAGAAATGTCTTTGGGGGGGTGGAGGCGTGGGGGTGAAGTTCAGGTCAGTTACTACCCGCAGAATTAATTGGTCGCATTGTTGACTCCTTTTAATTTCAGAAATGTTGCTCGGATAGAGAAGGGGGAGGGCCGCTCAGTGTGGGGCTTCTCGGTCCCTTTCTCTGCTGAGTTGGACACTTGGCACTGGTCTTGGCTTTCCTAGGTTCACAGGCAGCTGCCAGAGCTGCAGAACCCAGTGAGTCACGTCTGCAACAGCAGCTTAGAGAGCACTGTGAATACATTCAGAGAAAACCATCAGCCATGGTTGCAAAGCCTTCTCAGGCCAGGCCTGTGGGAAAAAGGCAGGGGGAGGCTCAGGGTCTGTGGGGAGAGATGACCTTCCCAACATGGCCTCGCTTGCACTCACTCGGCAGGACGGAGGATGGACTAAGTTTGTGTTGAGCAGAGCCCTGCTTACTGTGCAGTTGGTATGGATCTCCACAACTCCTTCGAGACATACATGTGGAATGAATGAATGAATGAATGAATGAGTGAACCCAGAATTGCACTCCTTAAGTAGCCAAGGCACTCTCCCAGATCTGTGTAGGTCTCCAGGTTTCCCCGCTTGAACTTATATAAAGTTCAAGTATGTGGTGATAATAAATTGAGTTAGTGTAACAACTGTTAGAGGTCTTAGAAAATTATTTCCTGTTCACAGAACATTCAGAGCCAGGGTTATTTTGATCTTATTGTTACTTTTTAAGAAATAGCATTTTCTCCTTTGAAGTTAAGTGTGTCTCAGATAGAGGCCACGGAAATGACGGCTTTGTGAGAAGAGGAAAAAGGTAAAACTGTCTCTGATAGAAAGGACTTATAGAATTGATAAAACTGAAAGAAACTGCTGATATTGAAGAAAATTAATAATGATACAAAATACATGGAGCCAATCATTGGATTTTAATAGCAATGATTGGATATTTTTTATTATTCAGTCGTGTTTAGCGAACTATAGGAATAGGTCCCTGATCGTTCTGTCTGGGGATAATTCTATTTTCTGTAGTTCTGGGGTTTGAATCCAGGGCTTCTCACATACGAGGCAATGGTCGGCTATTGAGTTATAGCTCTAGTTACCAGTCCTCCTTAGAACGGGCTAACAAGTGTTGGGAAGACTTAACTGTGTCCCAGGAATCTGTTTCACATTCTTCCTCTCTGTTTCCTGCCCCCCCTTCTTTTTATAGTCTTCCCAGATCTTTTTGTTATTGTTGTTTGGTTGTTTTTTTTTTTTTTTTTTTTTTTTGGTTTTCGATTTCTCTATGTAGCCCTGGCTATCCTGGAACTTGCTGTGTAGACCACATGGTCCTTGAACTCTGCCTCTGCCTTCTGGGTGCTGGGGTTAAATTGTAGACTAGGTGTTGAGCGGAGCCTGGCTTTCCCAGCCCTTTGTAGTCATAGAGCTGAAAATGAAACTTCGATAGTTTTATAAATTGGACAACTGGAAACCCACCGAACTGAACTGGTAGGTACAAAATGTCAGAGACGGTTGTTTGCCCTGAGAGATGGAAGAAGTTAGGGTGCCATGTAGCCCAGCTGGGGTGGGAGTCAGGGTGGCCTGCTAATTCTGTTCTTGCACTATTTTGAAACTGGGAACACTTCGGTACATCTGTGTCGGTGCAGTAAGTGAATAAAGACCCATGCATATGTACACATGTGTGTATGTACAGGTACACATTGCACATGCTTCTGCACATCTCTTCCCCACCCTCCTCCTCTCCTCCTCCCGCTCCTTCTCCTTCTTTTCCATCTCTTTAGAAACCTCATCAGCTGACGCAGAGTTACCCATCTGTGCAGAGGAAGGATTTTTCCTTTTCTCTTGTCTAGCACAGTTCAAAACTCCTCCGAAACCATGGCCTTCATCTTTGTGCTGTTGCTACGGAGAACTTCCAGCTCACACAAGTTACCCTCACCTATTTGAGGAGGCAGCTGAGGTAGACATTCTTGTGCCAGTCGATTTCCATGCCAGCCTTTGGTTAGGAGGTGGGATTTTTCTTTGAGTTATTACATTTATCCCCCCTTGTTCTATAAAGGATACAGATCTGCAGGGTGATGGTGGCACACGCCTTTAGTCCCAGTGCTTGGGAGGCAGAGGCAGGTGGATCTCTGAGTTTGAGGACAGTCAGGGCTACACAGAAAAACAAAAGAAAACCAAAGGGGAAAAAAAAAAGAATACAGTTATTTTTTGTTCAAGGTTTTTAAGTGCAAGAAATCCAGGAGCGTGACACAGAGAGACAAGAGGTTGGCAGATTCGCTCCATGGCAAGATTTCCTCACAGTAACAAGCTCAGTTTTGCTGTGGTGAGATGCTCTTCATACCTGGAAGAATTAGAACACTCCAGGGAGAAGGGCCTGCGACTGAATTCCGTAATTTCTAGGCCCCACTTCCCGAAGTACTGGACATTGGCAAAGGAAATTTCAACCTGACTTTTGGAGGGGACAGCCTCCGCGGGCAAGAACGTTTCCTGCCATGCTTGAGTGGCAGTCAACGTTGGAGTAGCAGTTGGGTTTCTCCAGGGCGAGTTGAAGGCTTCAGGCCTTCTGAGCACTCAGAGACCCTGGAGGCTGGACGTCCGAAACCACAGTGCAGCAAGGCCGTACTCCTTCTGAGACTCTGAGGAGAGGCCTCCCTTGACTACCTCCGCTTCTGGTGGAGGCCGCTAACCCTTGGTTTGTAGCGACATGACTCCAGTCTCTGCCTCTGCTCTGTGGTCTCGTTCTGGTGGCCTGTTTTGGTTTTGTTAGTTCTTTCCCTGGCAGTAGGCACCATGGCAGGGACAAAAACCGCAGTCACGGACGTAGGTGTCGCAAGGCAAGGCACTGGGAGAAAAACAGTTCACACAGGAAATGGCGCGGAACAAGTTATCGCTTACACTCCAGCAAGGGATGTGGATGAAGTGGATGTCGGGATTCCTCCTCAGCACTCTTCCATCTTGTTCCCTGAGGCGAGGTCTACTCAGTCAAACCCAGAGCTCACTGATGGGGCTACTATGTCCAGTCACTTTGCTTTGGGGATTCTGCCCCGACTTTCTGAGACTGGAATTACAGGCCAGTCACCAGGCCCACCCAGTGTTGCTCTAACCACTGAGCAATCTCCCTGGCCTTTATTTACTTAGTTTTCTGACTCCTTTAGTTGGCATGCAGATGAATGAGCTTCATTGTAGCATGCGTACGTTAAACATTGTGTTTGATTCTCCACCCTGTGCCCTCTTTCATCCCCCCCCCCCCCCCCCCCCCCCCCCCCCCCCCCCCCCTCTCCCCCCCCCCCCCTCCCCCTCCCCCCCCCCCCCCCCCCCCCCCCCGTGCTTACTGGTCTCATTTCAGCCCCCGTTGAGTCCTGCCTCTTTCCGGACACAGAATGCTTTTCTTCATTTCCTCCCAATTCAGCTCACTGCTCTGTTACCTGTGTGGGCTTCTCCTTGTCTCCTTGACCTCTTAGTGTTTCGAGTCCCTTGGCTTCCCTTTGCTCGCATAGACAGAGCTCATCCAGTTGATCTGGCTTACCCACAGCCTCACATATCCAACTACCCCGCTCACCATGATCACGTTCATGTCTAGTGGACACACTCAAGCCTAGCATGTCCAGCATCGCATCCCTGATCTTTCCTAGTGGTCAGCTTCCCTCTGCTGTGACCAAGTACTGAGAAAATGGACCGTCGCGGAAGACAGGTGTTTGGGGGCTCATGACCTCAGCAGCTTCAGTCTGTGGTTGGCTGGCTGTTGTTTGGAGACCTGTGATGAGGTGGTCCATCATGGCAGAGAGCATGATGGAGCAGAGGGAAGAAGAGAGAGAAGGGTCTCAGTGTCCCAGGAGCTCCTTTAAGGGTACCCTGTCCCACTAAGGCCACGCATGCCTCTTCATAGTTTTCATCTTTCAGATGAGCCATGTGGGTTAGCGACTGAGGCTTTAATCTACGGG